AGTAGCCTGAGTGTGATGTTTCAGATGACTCTTCAAGTTACAAGAAAATTACTTCATACCAAGTCTGAAAAAAAAAAAAACAACAAAAACCATCCCAAAACATTCTGACACTTTTTCACTGCTATTTTGCCAAAGCAAGGCTGTTATTCTTCAGTCAAAGTGGTGACTGTTTCTGGGTGTCTTTATTAGCAGTCTTTAGGTGGTAATGAAGTAACTGTGGCCTGGAAGAATTTTCTGCATCTTTCATTCACAAATTAACCAGAAGCCAGTGCAAACTCAACTGCTACTGTTAAACTGAGAATTCCTTGTTTAAATGGTACGCATAATAGCTTGTTGTGAACAGACACATATAACATCTTACTCTCCTAGATTTACCTTTTTCCTACCTGAAGCACCCTTTCTCATGTTAATTTTCCTTATTCTTCTTATCACGTCCCATTCTTCATATTAATCAAATCTTGCATGAAAATCTTTCCTTCCTATAGTTGAATCCCATTTTCTTCCAGCTATTATTCAGCAGAATTAGTCCATACACTGCATCAATTAAAAAACAGCAAACAATATGGAATATAATTCATTTTGTGAAACATTTTATGAAGCAGTAATCACATTTTACTAGGCTATCTTGATCCTAATCAATAACCCTTGCACTAAACCAAAGTTAAGAGGGATATAATTCCTATACTGTGAAAGAAAGACAATGAATATTTCTGATTTACTCAGGTCCTATCCTGTCAGCTGTTCTTTGAGAGATTTTCTCCTGTACTTTTCTGTCACTAAAAGTCTGCTCAGTTGTAAGAATCAAAGCACACAGTCCATGCACAATCAGATTGTGTTAGTGCAAATAAATCCATGCTCTAGCTTTGGGATAAAAACCTTTACAATATTTTTTAGAGGAAATTGTTAGAGGAAATATTAGGACAGCTATAAAGACATGGTCTTGGGGCCAAGGATTTGGAGAAAGTCAAGGTAGATACATCTATAGATGTAACCAGTCGGGTGCTCTGCTTCTGCTTCTGCTGCACTTCAAGATATTCAGTGAAGTCTGCAGCTGTACTGAGTTTAAAGGCCCTTCCAGAATAGTTATATAATTGTATATAGTTACTATACATTATATATAATTACTATTAAAGTAAATCAAACATGCAGATTCTGTCCTTCTCATCCACCTATCATTATGGGCTTATCTATTATCTCTGAGGACAAATCTATTTCTAAATCATATTGTTCAAATTCTTACTTTAAAACAGTTCTCTCAACTTTTACAAATTGGAAAAATGCAGTGAGTCTATATTTACATCAATGGATGATGCATGTGACCATCTGACCCTTACTACTGCAAGCTGCTGTAGCAGCTTGCTACAGCAGAATTCATTGCGATACCGCTGCTACTCATAAATCACAGCAAAACAATCGTATTAATATTCTTTTGTCTTAAATGTCAGCATATTTAGGTGTTCTTAAAAATCAAGATTTTTTTTTTTCTATAATCAAATAAAATTTGCCAATAAAATGCGGCCAGTTCCAGCATGGAAAAAGTAACTGATTGTAGAAGGCAATACAGGGAAGCATTCTTCAATCAATTATCAGATGCGCCACAGCAGAATTAATTGTAATTCCATGCCCTTCCCACACCAGGGCTTTTACCTCCTCTACATCATTCTCCTTCCTTGTCCCTTCACCACCATAAACCTGAAAGCATGTCAGTCCTTCCTGCAAGAGCAAAAGTTTTCTGTGATTCTTCATGATTTTTCTAAGTAAATCATTTAGTGATATTTCCAGCACTCTCACTTCACTTCCAATTAAATTCCTGCTAGGTTAAAAATTAAAAAGAGGTACACTAATCAGTGAGTATTTAACAGACCCAACAGTACCCAGTACATGCTCTTCTGTTTTCTTCACTCTTGCTCTGCTCAGTTTCTCTATATAAATTCTCCTGGGAAGAATTTATCTGCTCTTAGACCCAAGATCTCATAAAGATTCAGATCACTTCAAATGTAACTTTTTTTTTATAAAAAGGAAAATAACACAGTATTTTGAGGATACTGAGGGGTTAAGAATGGGGTTCCGTGATGGGACTCAAAAAGCAATTAAGCGTTTGTCAGAGCAGATCCAGATTAACAACTGTTGCCTGGGATTTCACTGGCTTGTATTTTCCATGTGAACCCCAGTGAATATGAACACATCCCAAAACCACTATCATAAATGTGGCTGACTGAGGAGTTTCCAAAAAAAAAAATAAAACAAGGCCTGAAAAAGCTTAAGAATACAGCTGAATTCATTAACACAGAAATAAAAACCAACAATAATAGTAATTTAAAAAAATTAATAGTAATTTAAAAAATAAAATAAAATTAATCAACAAATGAAGTTGGGAAACACAGATAAGATTTTGGATAGACATGGCAAGATTTAATAGAGAGTTTATGTTGCCTGAAACACTTGCCAAATGAAATGACTGGTCAGTTGATAGCTACCTGAAACAAAAAGATATCAGATGAAAAGTAATGTTATCTCTTTCCAGCTAGAGTGACCAAACACAATATTAGGTTCCATATGTTGCTCAAAGACAAAATGAAAATGTGAAGCCATGAATCTTTACTCATCAAGAACATAACAAGTCCCTTTTCCCTAAATGTAGCAGAAATAAAAATAAGAAGATTGAACATTGTCCTTTCTCTCTTTTTATAGCTCAAAATCTGTTTTTTACCCCTCCAAGCAGCTCCCTGCTTATTCATTGTAAGTCTTAAGACCCTTTTCACTGGCACACAAACCTTTGCATAACAGTAGCAAGTAAACCCTGTCCATCATGTGTGTCCATGAGTGCCCTGTTTGCGACTATATTTAAGTGTATTTCTTACTGCCTCCCAGAAACCATAACAATTATTTAAAGCAGGATTTCAAAGTCCATCTCTGAAAACAGAGGGAAGACCAGCAGAAGCTCTTCAGGCTATAAACCCCATTTCATTGCTGTCTGATCACATGCTGTGAAGTGCCTGCTTAGATACCATTTCAATGCCAATGACACACTACAATTTAAAGGTGCCTAAAGTGTTTTCCACATCCCGTTAATCCAGTCATAGAATTATTATCTTCTCATCACTCAAACTTTGGAAACCTGTCACCCCTGATGGCCCAAAAACTTAATTTTTAAGAGAAATCAAATACAACCCTGCCAAAATAAACATACTGATGCCTAATAAATGCAGCAGCCAATCATGAGTACCCATATTTTCAAGTTCTGTATGTACCTAATTGTCTTCATACGACTTAATTTAGTACTGACATGTTAATAGAAGCATGATAATAATTTTGATCTTCTGTTACATTTTTACTTTGTATTTATTTCTTCACCTCAGGTAGCTAGCCAGTATAACTGTGACTCAGAGATGTGAGATGATGGAAGAGTCAATAAATCTCTTCAATACCATGGATATCAAAGTAAGGATATACTCATACTGTATTCTTAAATGTTGTTCTTGATCAAATTATAAATTAAGTTTTGAACATTTTTGTAGTTTTCTAAAAAAAACTCTCATCATATTGATCCTATTTAGCTACCCTAACAATTACTTCTTCCTTAGGCTTTAAATATCTATAGGCAGGTACTTTTCTTCTCAAACCACAGTTTCTTTATCAAGTTTATAGTCAGCTCCACTGAAGACAGCACTGAAGTATAAGGCATGTAATATATATTTCCTTCCATGTATTATTTTGAATCAACTCCATAAAATCTCAGATCCTTGGGTTCCTTTTTCCAAAAAGTCGAGTAATAGTTACTTCATAAGCAGGTTGGCAGTGGGCAGGGGACACTGAATAGCAGATCAACATTATGTAGGTGCTCCCACTTAACACCTGTCTAAATAACTAAAAACTCCACAAAGATTATATGCTTTCCTAGAGCAATGATTAAGCACGCTTTCATTGACTGGAATCAACTAATTGAAGCCTGGCTGTGATATGAAAGCAATTTGAAAATCAGAAATCCAGAAAGACTGAATGAAACTGCTTCTATTGGGATAATAACAGAAATTAGAAAGAAATTCGAGCATTAAAATACTACAGTTTCACAAAGTGTGCAACATGGACAAAGTGAGGAAAACATTCAAGCACATGCATAACTAAACCCACTGCTTTTCAGAGGTATTTACGTTATTTTCCTTAAGAGACTCAAGCTCATTTTAAGTGCTTTCCTCAATTGGGATGAATGTATATTATACCATACTGCTTATTTTAGGATAACAGAATTACTTTGCAATATCACAAGACAGAAGTATCAAAGTCCCCTGGCCTTCCCGAACCCTTCCTAAAAATCCTTCCCAAACCCTGAGAGTCAGGATCATTAAAAGTTTAAATGGAAACCTCCTTTAGCTCTGAGACAGTGTTACAAATAACCATTTCCAGTATCCTAAATCTGGTATCAATAAACACAATGACCACTGGAAAAAATTAGTTCTCTGATTCATTTTGATTCTTTATACATAATACATTCAACAGATTTGAGAGTCAACTAAATTCTTTGATTTCTAGCCAATACCTTGGCAAAATTTCCATTCAGTTCAGGAAAAAGCACTATATATTCAGTCTGGAACTGTTGAATTACTAATAGCTGTATGAATTAGATCTTAAAACTTTTTGGAGAAGATTCACCATCAGTAGCAGATAATACTGCAGGACTTTAGGCTACTGTCACCTAAGCTACATTTGACAGGAAAGAAAATATAGTCAGCTTTTGCCTATAATGATTTTTTTTTATTGCTATGCAATAATATCTAATGCCTTCCAGATGCATTCAGGACAATTTGTTCATTTCACTCTGCAATCAAAATGTGTTTTGACTACTAAGTCCCTATTTAGCTTTTTCTGTAATCATTTTTCTTAATGGGAGTATTTTCCAGATGTTGTGTCAGCCTAGTCATCTGGGACCTCTTCCAAGTTTTGTGGAAAGTTTGCTGTCATAAGCTGTCATTGGCAGTTTTGCTTAACAAGCTCTCTAATTAGTTAACCCCAGCACAGTTACAAAGCAATATATAAGGCATCTGAAACATCACTGAGAGCAGACATATTCTTCGTTAGGTAAGTGTCACACCTGTCTCTACTAAGAGCATTCTGATCAAAGTTCACTTCTTCAAAAGGAAAAGGATAAACTGGAACAGAAAAAACAGATAAGTTTTCCTTTTGAAAGAAGACTTACTTTTATCCTGCATTTCCATTCAACATATTTAAACACTAATATTCCAATGATAGGTTATGGCCTATAAAATTGCGTTGCTTAATAACTAATGTATTTATAGTAGTTTTTCTTGCTTTACTTTTATATTTATTAGCATTATAACCTTAAAAACAATTGTACTGAAGTGCATCTATGTTAAAAAAAGACTAGGTTTTTCAGGTAATAGAATTCTGAAAAAAAATTACTTCCATTATGTGTTAATAATGAATTTTCCTAGTTATACTACAAAATCTAACAGCTAATTGACTAATAAGAGACAACACATGGAGTAATTCTAAATTAGCAATTTGTCCTTGAACAATTTCAGTATTAATTTTATATTGTTATTAGAAAAGTATTATGTATAAAGGTACATACTACATTTTTTAAAATTATGAACTGATTAATTGAATTGCATGTAGTGATGTGGGATTATTTCCTTTTAGGGATGATGTCGTACCTGAAAGTAACGGTCATATGGAACATACTTTGCGTTTCCCTGGTGATCCTTTCACTGCCCTTGATTCAAGAAGTGTCTTCTCAAGGTACTGTAACATACAAAGTTGAAGGGAGGGCGTCTAGGATATCTGATAAGTAGTAAGAATGGTCCAAATGCATCTCCATAAAGAGACTAAGTTCTAGAACTTTACATTTATTCAGACAGGAATTATGATTCAGCTTTATCATCAATGAATATTTTCATAAATATATCTTGGTACAGCATGGTCCTATTTTTTTTGAGGCGTAACGTATAAATATGAATAGAATACTAAATGTGTATGAAACCTACTTCTTTTTCTGGTAGACATATTATACAGATCCTGTTGCCCTCTGACGTATTTAGCCTAAGTGATTTGCAGCATGATTCAAGGAAGAATCTAAAGTTACAGTATCCACAAAACTTGTTTATAACTATTTAAACATAACGGGCTCAGAGAAAGGAATATCTATACTATGTTAAGTGTCTTGCCATTAAATGCACTGTTACTACCATCACAAAGGCAAATTTTGGCAATTATTTGTCTAATATTGCAGATTCTCATTTGTTTTCAAAGCTCAGTAATTGGTTTCTAACTAAAATAACACCATTAAGAAGAAACCAAAGAATTTGCACCCTGGCAAGCCTTGTGTTGTCATAGCTCTCAAGTAGCTATCAAGTTGTTATAGTGATAACACTGTGTCCCCTTTCATTTTTTTGTAAAAAAGTGGTAACAAACATTATACCTAACAGCTTAAAATCAATACATACATAATTGTTTGTTATTACTTGGTCTTCCTTCATACACACACTGTGTGTGTGCTGTTAGAAATTGTCTCTGGTGTTGTGCTTTGTTACATGTTAGTTCTTGTTATTTTCTTGTTGTTCCTCAACGCTAATTATCTTCACTTTTAGCTTGCTGACTGTTCAGCTTCTTTGTTTGTATTTAGGGGCACTTCCCCTGTGGTCCTGTATGTTTCACTTCCAGAAGAAGCTGTTAGCATGTTACATTAGTAGAGATTTCACGTAGGAAGGGGAATTGTTGCAGGATGAATATCTGATCTGGCAATAGAAGGTAACGAATGGCTGCTGAGTTCGAATGCTTGCAGTTTGAAAGCAGTTGCAATCTGCACTATTTATTTATTATTTATTTTTGTCTAGCATTTTCCAATCTGAAAACAGTCTAGCAGTAAAGCCACTGTGGAATGAACATTTATGTTAATCTGCTAGTAAGTGATTTCCTAATTAACAAAACAGAAAAGATACTTCATAGAAGATTGCAGGAGCGGATCCCAACTGTTCCTAACTTCAGAATTGATACCAAATTCCACACTGACCTCAGAGGAAAAAACCCAAACATGTAGAGGGCAGGCAGATTTTCAAAATTTATTGCAAGAATGGCTCCAGGGACCTGTATTTATTATGACAGTGCTCAGGAGATTTTATTTATTACAAAGAACATTACCAAAAGTAAAAATCAGACCTAATGGGGCTGTTAGGTACAGTTAGGCAGATGCACATCTACAGTCATACCATACATAAGGTGAATTAAGATGGAGAACAATCTGCAAAACAATATAGTGCCTGGCTGATGTACTGCCTAAGTTAAATCTTCACCAGCTAGTTTGGATGGCAGAACTGCTGTGGTCATACTACTCGACCAGGCCTCAAGGATTTGTTGATCTAAAGAAGAAACAGGATATGGTAGCCTCAGCAGAATACCCCTCTAACCTGAACGTGCACTGATGCTGGTTCTCAGGCTGACTCAGAACAAACCTCTGATCGGCATGCTTTCAGGAGGGGTTGCATCAGGCCCACAGTTTTTGCAATACCAAGTGAAGAAATGGCATTCTGTAGAAAGAAAAGATAAATCTTACTACTTCCACATTTCCTAACATACCATTTTGGTTTGGCAATGTTTACATCAGTGTTGTGTGATTTTAGATTTATCAAGCTGTACAGGGAGATGTGGGCAAGGGTATTCTAGAGAGCATGACTGCCAATGTGATTATAACTGTCATCACTACATGGAGTGCTGCCCCGACTTCAAGAAAGTCTGCACAGTGGGTAAGTTCCCAAACACAGCCAGTTCCTATTGACAAAACTTCCCCTCCCCTTTGCTCCAGCTCCCTACCACACCAGTGTCTCTTCTCTGAATGCTTAAATGTCTTAGTTTGCTGCGTCCTTGTTCTCCTCTCCTACACATATTGTTCTCCCCCTCAAAAACTCAGTGATAACCTCTCACAACCCATTCAAAGAAAACTGTATATCCACAAGTTACCCTGAGAAAAAAAAATTGCTTTTCAGAAGAACAGAGGCAAGAGGGGGGAAACAGTTTGCTTACTCCTTGCTTTCTTCTCCTTAGTGCATTTGTACTGTATCTGTTTGTCTCTTGTACAAAAAAAAAAAAAAGGAAAAAACAAATCCAGGGGTTTTCAGGAAGACATTCTGGGGCATTCCAACTCAAACTGAAGAATTGTGTAGGCTGTAAGGTCTAATCCAAAGTCAGTGTCCTTCCATGAATAAAAATTCACTCTGGATCAGAACCATGTCCAGAGTTGCATTGAAAAGATGGTTGGACGAATATTATTTTATATGTCTTATTTATAAGCAAAACTGCATAGTTTAAATAAGTACCGGTATTTCAAACTGTTTTACTGAGAGTTTAGAAGTATTTTATTATGAATCAAATGTCAAAAATATCAGCAATTTAGCTCACTGCAGCTTGTTACACTACACTGCAGTTCTAGTAAGTTACAGGTATAAGACTTCTTAGATCCAGCAATATAGCCCAGGAGTTGTTTAAAAGGCAGACACATCACTCCTTGAAACACTAATTCTGCCACTCTGACACACAAAGAGAAAGCACCTTCATTTTCAGTCTTCCCAGCCCGATTCTGATTTGTGAGGGAACATCAGCATTTCTCATAACTGAAAGTACATACTGAGGTATTTTAGTTATGTAGACCATTTATTTAGAATCATAGAATCATAGAATAGTTAGGGTTGGAAAGGTCCTTAAGATCATCTAGTTCCAACCCCCCTGCCATGGGCAGGGACACCTCCCACTAAACCCTGTTACCCAAGGGTCTGTCCAACCTGGCCTTATTGTGGGCTCAGTTCCAAAGTTATTCTGGCATCTATATAACACTTCATAAAATGCTTAAGGCTAGAGGAAGTCTCCCGTATTCTATCCTAAATGGCTGAATTCAGGCAAACACAGTAGGCACCATCCTAAAAGGATGCAGGCAGTCTAAGGACTGTTGCACAGCTAGTGTGTGATCGGTGCTGACTAAATTAGAGAAATGCCAGACACTGCTTATGAATAAAATAAACCCTAACATCATAAAACGATATTCACTTGTGCATGTGGGATAAATTCACTGGCATTAACAGACTCAATCCACATCTACATTGGTCAAAAGAATTTCAGAATCTGCCTATACACTAATTCTGATTTTGATAGATAGTGCCACATGCATGCCACAGAGACAATGATTTCAATAGAGACTTATCTACAGAAAAGATACAGGACCAGAATAACAGATCATATGATAAATTCTGGAAATACCAAGTGATAGTCAGTTATTGTCTCAATACTGTGAGATACTAAGCATCCTCCAGAAATATTCACTTCAGGTCTAATGTAATCACTGCAACTTAATAGTTAACTAAGTACCTATTAAAGGTACTACAGAATGTTAATAAATATTAGATTGTAATGTGATGGAAATGTTTAGGGTCAAAACTTGTCCTTGCAAAATACAGCAAGCATATTTTGCTAAAATCTGTAATATGTGCATACACAGTTTCCAAAACAATTTGGACATTATTTGATATGAAACAGAAGTACTGTAGTTGTCAGAAATTAACCAATCATGAAATATTAAAAACACATGGTTATTACTTATGTCAAAACACACTAGATACTCTTTCAATACTAATAATTTAAGAATTGTATTAAATAGACTGGGATAACGTTTCAAAATCAGTCACTGTGCAGGTTTGTTAACTCATTCACACAATAAAGTTGCAGTATTTGCCCAGAGACACGAGGTACACTTGGTCATGACCTATTTGGGCAAATTATTTTCAGAAATGCTTTCTTAGACACATCACTCGATGCAGAGAGGTACCCTTATGAACACCTTTTTGGAAACCCAACCCAGAATTTAAATACCATTCTTGAGATAACTGCTGCTTGATCAAGGAAACTGAAACCTTCTATGATGGGACCTAGCTAAAGTGAGCGTTGAGGTCACACCTTATTCCATTATAAATTCTAAATGGTCTCAATATACTGCAGTTGCAAAGTGCAGTTCTGGTTGTATAGCCTGATCCAAATTCCACAATTACACAAACAAGTTCTGAATCAGACCAGGATAACCACTGGCTTTTTGAAACTGTTCTTTACATCAGGTGAAGCAAATGACTTCACTGTAGAAAGGGCCCAGCATCAAATGTGAGCTAGCCAAAATTACTCACCTTCTTGTTCTGCCTTAAGTAGCACTCTCCTGCAGAGGACGTTGCTTTGAAGCCTTTGAAAGAGGAAGAGAATGTGACTGTGATGCAGACTGCAGCAGATATGGCAAATGTTGCCCAGACTATGTGGAACACTGTGAAGAGGGTAAGAAATTTACCATTATATTTTTCTTAGATGTATTTAAACAAAGATGCTTTGCATTATCATAAAACGCTGACTTCTTAGGACACAAGAAGTTGACTACTGAAACAAAACCAAAACAAAACCAGAAAAAAACAAACAAAAGCCCCAAACAATGACCCCCCCCAAAAAGAAAAGAAAGAAAAACCCCACAAAACAAAAAAATCCCAACAATAAACAAAAAAAAATTCATCTTTTTGCCACCTCAAAATTGCCATTAGCGAAGAAGGCCTCACTTTAGACTTTCGGGAAAAACATTTCTCCTGTCTGTGATGAAACATTTAGAGATCCATAGAGTATTTTCGCTCTTTCCCTCCTGAATAATAGTTTAAAGAATCCTGTAGGACAAGAATAAACCTGCATGAAATTTTGTAATCACTTTCATTTTATATAGTTGAGACTGAGCATCCATGAATAAAAATGCTCCCATTAACAGATTATTTTATTTCTTTCAGCACACACTGAAAAGTCACCACTAGAAGACAAATCAACATCTAAAAGATCATCCAAAAATGAGGAAAAGCCAGAGGAAGTAACACAGCACCATGAAGTTATGGAAGGTAGGAAAGTGTATGAATGAAACAGGATGGGTGTTACCTGAAGGAACATTAAAGACCATTTTCCTGCTCTAGAAATAGAAAGCCAGTGCGAGACATTACCCCACAGTTAGCAAGCTTTGGAACTGCTCAATTCATAAACTAATTACCTCACCTAGGCCTCAGGATACTGGAGAGTTCATTTAGCACAGATGTTGGAGTGCGGTGATGTATCCTGTGTCTCTACTGGATTTTCAAACACATCTTCCAAAAGCGTTACACACCGTTGTCAGTTTTGGACAAAGTCCAAACAGGACTGGAACAGGAAGGGTGTTGTATTTTGAGACAGTGATGAATTGGCAGGACCAAGACAGGAAAATCTCCTAGCAGGTTTCTCTAGCTTTAATCAAACCAGGCTTCATGCTGCTTCAGAAAACATATGATTTATTTTTTCTGAATGGAAAATATGTTGCTTTCCTGTGTACTTTGGTATTCTGTTCCAGCATTTTAAGTGATAACTCAGGTTCAGTCTGAAATCTAAAGCTGAAATAACAAGAATTAAATGAGACTAGGGAGTCAATTTTGGCCAATATTTTAACAGTCATTCTTTTGTTTTGTTTTTTAATTTAAAATTTATAATACTTACCTTTCTAATGTGGCAACGTCCCATTATGAAAAAGAAAAATATAGTGGGTTAAATGAAACGAAGTTAAGGAAATTCAAATAACCATTAACAGGATCCACTTGGGTATTTCAGACACATTGAATGAAAGGAAAATCTATTCTGCAACTCTGTGCTCATATAGAATCATAGAATAGTTAGGATTGGGAAGGACCTTAAGATCAAGTTCCAATCCCCCTGCCATGGGCAGGGACACCTCACACTAAACCATATCACCCAGGGCTTTGTCCAACCTGGTCTTGAACACTGCCAGGGATGGAGCATTCACAGCCTCCCTGGGCAACCCATTCCAGTGCCTCACTACCCTAACAGGAAAGAATTTCCTCCTTATATCCATCTAAACTTCCCCTGTTTAAGTTTTAACCCGTTACCCCTTGTCCTGTCACTACAGCCCCTAATGAAGAGTCCCTCCCCAGCATCCCTACAGGCCCCCTTCAGATACTGGAAGGCTGCTATGAGGTCTCCATGCAGCCTTCTCTTCTCCAGGCTGAACAGCCCCAACTTTCTCAGCCTATCTTCATACGGGAGGTGCTCCAGTCCCCTGATCATCCTCACGGCCCTTCTCCGGACTTGTTCCAACAGTTCCATGTCCTTTTTATGTTGAGGACACCAGAACTGCACACAATACTCCAGGTGAGGTCTCACAAGAGCAGAGTAAAGGGGCAGGATCACCTCCTTCAACCTGCTGGTCATGCTCCTTTTGATGCAGCCCAGGATACGGTTGGCTTTCTGGGCTGCAAGCGCACACTGCCTGCTCGTGTTCATTTTCTCATCGACCAGCACCCTCAAGTCCTTCTCTGCAGGGCTGCTCTGAATCTCTTCTCTGCAGGGCTGCTCTGAATCTCTTCTCTGCCCAACCTGTAGCTGTGCCTGGCATTGCTCCGACCCAGGTGCAGGACCTTGCACTTGTCATGGTTAAACTTCATGAGGTTGGCATCAGCCCACCTCACAAGTGTGTCAAGGTCCCTCTGGATGGCATTCCTTCCCTCCAGCATATCAACCGAACCACACAGCTTGGTGTCATCGGCAAACTTGCTGAGGGCGCACTCAATCCCACTGTCCATGTCAGTGACGAATACGTTATAATTTCTACAATACATTTACACAGAGATTACTCACACTGCAATATTATAAATTCTTCCAGTCTTCTGGGAGAGAGACTGCAGAAACTAAACAAAAAAGAAAAAAAAAAAGTGAAAACAGAACTAAACAGCAAAACCTCAGAAAGACAACAGTGACAGATTAAAATGCAGAAACTTTTACAGTTATTTTTTGCTGAATATAGCCATATAAACAATTTGACATGTCAGTGTAACTATATATATATACATTGAAGTGGCTCTTAAAGCTGTAAATCACAAAAAGGAAAATTATCCAAGATAAAGATACAGTAGGAGATGCAGTCAGATGTCTGTGTTCAGAAAGTTTGCTTTCTTCTCGTTTCCCTACCTTTCCTTCAAGTCTAGGTCATTGGTACAGGCTATCTTATAATGAAGATCAGAGGAATAAATCAAAAGAACAGACTGGGAAGAGAAGCATCTTATTAGAAGGACTATGTTTTCCAGCATAGTTCCTCCTCCCTGAAAAGGGATGGAAACAAGAAGTAGTCCCACCTGCAAACACCGAACTAAAATCTGCCGTGATGCATTCAGAGTTGTGACAGGTTAACCAATAGAATTACTTAAAAACTTAGCTGATATGCTGCAAATTCCCATGCAGACAAAAGGAATTCATATTTAACACAGCCCAGATTAGCTTTGCTCTTCTACATTATTTCTCTTCTGACAATTACCTAAGTCCATAACTAGCATTTACCAATTTAACCTAGGTTACCACATATCCTTTCTCCTTCCTCCCTGTTTTAAATTTTTCAATGACTTTAATTCGTGCAATTTTACACAGTAAGATTTTAGGGTAAAAACCATAAAAACAACTATTGCTATTCAAAAGGTAAATTGCTATTTCTAATTACTATAATAAATTAGTATGAAATAGGTGTATGCACGGCAATTCCAATGTCTTAATATATATATATGTTCTCATAGATACCCCACCGACAACAGCAGCGTCAACAGCCAAGGCTGAATCTCCCATCACCCCCAAACCTGAAGACACAACCCCAGAGGCCACAGAGACATCAATAACTGAGGCAGACCCTCCCACCACCCCTAAACCTGAAGACACAACCCCAGAGGTCACAGAAGCACCAACCAAGGCAGACCCTCCCACCACTCCCAAAGTAGAAGACACAACACCTGAAGCCACAGAGCCACCAACAACCAAGGCAAACCCTCCAACAACCCCTAAAGTAGAAGATACAACAGCTGAGGCCACAGAGGAACCAGTAACTGAAGCAGACTCTCCCACCACCCCTAAGGCAGAAGATACAACAGCTGAGGCCACAGAGGAACCAGTAACTGAAGAAGAATCTCCCACCACCCCTACGGTAGAAGATACAACCCCTGAGGCCACAGAAGAACCAGTACCTGAAGAAGAATCTCTCACCACCCCTAAACCTGAAGACACAACCCCTGAGGCCACAGAGCCACCACCAACTGAGGCAGACCCTCCCAGCAGCCCTAAGGTAGAAGATACAACACCTGAGGACACAGAAGAACCAGTAACTGAAGCAGACCCTCCCACCACCCCTAAACCTGAAGACACAACCCCTGAGGCCACAGAGGAACCAATAACTGAAGCAGACCCTCCCACCACCCCTAAACCTGAAGACACAACCCCAGAGGCCACAGAGGAACCAGTACCTGAAGCAGACGCTTCCACCACCCCTAAACCTGAAGACACAACCCCTGAACCAACAGAGCCACCACCAACTGAGGCAGACCCTACCACAACTCCCAAGGTAGAAGATACAACCCCTGAGGCCACAGAGGAACCAGTAACTGAAGCAGACTCTCCCACCACCCCTAAACCTGAAGACACAACCCCTGAACCCACAGAGCCACCAACAACGGAGGCAGACCCTCCCACCACCCCTAAACCTGAAGACACAACCCCAGAGGCCACAGAGGAACCAGTACCTGAAGCAGACTCTCCCACCACCCCTAAACCTGAAGACACAACCCCTGAACCAACAGAGCCACCACCAACTGAGGCAGACCCTACCACAACTCCCAAGGTAGAAGATACAACCCCTGAGGCCACAGAGGAACCAGTAACTGAAGCAGACTCTCCCACCACCCCTAAACCTGAAGACACAACCCCTGAACCCACAGAGCCACCAACAACGGAGGCAGACCCTCCCACCACCCCTAAACCTGAAGACACAACCCCAGGGGCCACAGAGGAACCAGTACCTGAAGCAGACTCTCCCACCACCCCTAAACCTGAAGACACAACCCCTGAACCCACAGAGCCACCAACAACTGAGGCAGACCCTACCACAACTCCCAAGGTAGAAGATACAACCCCTGAGGCCACAGAGGAACCAGTACCTGAAGCAGACTCACCCACCACCCCTAAACCTGAAGACACAACCCCTGAACCAACAGAGCCACCAACAACTGAGGCAGACCCTACCACAACTCCCAAGGTAGAAGATACAACCCCTGAGGCCACAGAGGAACCAGTAACTGAAGCAGACTCTCCCACCACCCCTAAACCTGAAGACACAACCCCTGAACCAACAGAGCCACCAACAACTGAGGCAGACCCTACCACAACTCCCAAGGTAGAAGATACAACCCCTGAGGCCACAGAGGAACCAGTAACTGAAGCAGACTCTCCCACCACCCCTAAACCTGAAGACACAACCCTTGAACCCACAGAGCCACCAACAACGGAGGCAGACCCTACTACAACTCCCAAGGTAGAAGATACAACCCCTGAGGCCACAGAGGAACCAGTAACTGAAGCAGACCCTCCCACCACCCCTAAACCTGAAGACACAACCCCTGAACCAACAGAGCCACCAACAATGGAGGCAGACCCTACCACAACCTCTAAGGTAGAAGATACAACCCCTGAGGCCACAGAGGAACCACTACCTGAAGCAGACTCTCCCACCACCCCTAAACCTGAAGACACAACCCCTGAACCAACAGAGCCACCAACAACAGAGGCAGACCCTACCACAACCCCTAAGGTAGAAGATACAACCCCTGAGGCCACAGAGGAACCAATAACTGAAGCAGACTCTGCCACCACTCCCAAACCTGAAGACACAACCCCAGAGGCGCCAACGACCAAGGCTGACTCTCCCACCACCCCCAAACCTGAAGACACAACCCCTGAAGCCACTGAGGCATCTACAACTAAGGCTGACTCTCCCGCCACTCCTAAACCTGAAGACACTACTCCAGAGGCACCAACAACCAAGGCAATATCTCCCACCACTCCCAAACCTGAAGACACAACCCCAGAGGCGCCAACGACCAAGGCTGACTCTCCCACCACCCCCAAAGCAGAAGACACTACCCCAGAGACACCAACAACCAAGGCAGAATCTCCTGCCACCCCCAAACCTGAAGACACAACCCCAGAGGCCTCCGAGGCACCTACAACCAAGGCTGACTCTCCCACCACCTCCCAGCCTGAAGACACAACCCCAGAGGCCACAGAGGCACCTACAACTAAGGCTGACTCTTCCACCACCCCAGAGGCACCAACAACCAAGGCAGAGTCTCCCACCACTCCCAAACCTGAAGACACAAGCCCAGCTGCCACAGAGACACCAACGACCAAGGCAGAATCTCCCACCACCCCTAAGGTAAAAGACATAACCCCAGAGACATCAATGATCCAGGCAGACTCTCCCTCTACCCCTAAAGTAGAAGAGGTGGAATCTTCCACAGCCCCTAGGGTCAAGGGGACTACCCCTACAGGCACTGAGGCTAACACCACTGCTATACAGAAAACAACATCTATGGAAGTAACAGCTACTGGTCCTGGATTAGTAACAACTGCTAAAGACATGAGCACTCAAAGTACTGTGACTGTCACAACAACTACAAAAGAAAAACCCATACCTGGATCGGATGCAACAGTTTTAGAAACAACTGAGAAGAAAATTACAACTTTTGCACCCAAAGTAGCAACCAGCACAACTGTGAAAAACACGACTACAGGCGTTCAAAAGACGGTGGTGACTGAAACTAGGACTACTGAGATTATAACAGTAACTGACAAAAAAGACAAAACAGCTAAAACTGTTACTACTCCTATAACTGAAGGGACAACAACTAAAACAGAAACGACCACAGTGAACAAAGAGGTAACAACACCCAAGAAAGACAAAACTACTGTGCTTAAAGACATTTTAACAAGAACAAGTAGGAAAGACACAACTACTGTAACTTCAGAGAGAACAGCTAAACAAGATGACCCTCCTAAAGGTAAGGATGATATTCCAAACACAACTCCTACAGCTGAGCAAACTGTCACTACAGCAGCTGCAACAGAAACAACTGTCATAGACAAGACTACAACAACAGCTGCAGAGAAAGAAGTAACCACTGCTAAACAGGACAAGACTCACGTACCAAAAGAGACTTTCACAACTAAGAAAGAAGAAAGCACCACGGGGACAGAGAGTGTAACAGCAGCTGCAGCAGTTACAACTCCCCTGCCCAAGTCCACTGTGTTGCCAACAACAGCCAAACCAGGTTCAACTCCTAAACCCAAGGAAATTGTAGCAACAAATAAAAAAGATGCTACTACAGAAACTAAGCAGACAGTAGAAGCAGCGAAAGAGAGCATAAGTAATACTTGTGTTATTGTAGAGACAACAGCTGGTAAAAAAGAGGTAACGACCACCAAAGAAACTAATGTCACACCTGAAGAAGAAACGCCTGATTCCTCTGAAAAGGCCCCTAGTATTGACAAAGGAGAGGAAACTCCAGTTACCAAAGAAACCACTACAAGAGATAAAAAAGACACAATAGAAGAAATGTTTATTGTTTCTAAAGGGACATCAAAGCCAGCTATACATTTCCAGGAGATTACTGACACTAGAGAAGAGCCTCATCCAGCTGACCCTGAAACTCTGCCAGTAGAGGAGCCCGAGATAAACAAGCCTTTAATACAAACTGACAACTTGCCAATTTTACCTGGAGAAACACAAGGTAATTGCATTTCAGTAGGTACAAAAGCAACAATAACTCCACCAGAGTACAACAAAACACATGAGTAAAGGACATGCAAGTGCGTTCTACACAGTGTCACAAGAACATGTTACTTCTGTCCCACTGCTAAACCATAACCAGGTAAATCATACCAAGGTGCTGCAGCTGCCAGCATCCTGAATACTGGTACCTCAGTTTTCAGTTGTTCTGTCAATTCTTCATGTAGTTTAGAATGTGATTTTTTTTTGCTGAAGAATGTTTGCTGCAAGTACTGTAGAAGATGCAAACAGAAAAAAAAAGTCCTGGAAAAAGAAGATAAATTTCTAAGTTCCGTGGAAACATTGAAAGGGAGTAAAGCTGAATATTCATTACTTATGGTAACCAGGTCTTCTGTAGTCACATACAGAAAATATCACACAAGGTTGACAAAAAAATCTCTTCCTGGTATTCTCTTTCCTCTGCACTTTTTGCCACATTTTTCATATCCTCACTATTCATTTTAATCAGGTATAGCCTGCAGGTTCTTAGGCATTTGTTTTCCAATTATTTTGGAAACAAAAAAAAAGGAAAAAAAAAAAAGCTTTTAGATGGAAAATACTTGTATTTTTATCCAAAACAGATTCATCTTTCCGTTATATTTAACTGAGAGTAAATATAAATGAAATATGGAGAGGGAAGGGAACCTACCAAACACCTAGTAAACATCCCAGAGCATGAAGGATTTAAAAGAGGTAGCGTGCAGTGCATTTCTAGGTGTTTTTTTTTTTCTGCATAACAGGTGCTTAGACAAGCAGTAAGCACAGATAGGCATACTTAGTCATGTAAACGGCTGCTCTTGCACTCCTGGGGCCAAACGAGAGAGCCAGTTTTTCCAGGAACATCTCTCAAATGAGTAATTAAACCCGTTGCACGACAGAGAGCCCCGAACATCACCCTGCTGTGGACTTGGGGGGGGGGGGGGGGGGGGGGGCGGGAGGGTAGCTCAATTCTTGGTGAATGTTAAACAAACCCAATCCACTGTTTTGCAGCAAAGGATGAGAAGGACCTGTGCAACGGGAAGCCAGCGGACGGCATGGTGGCGCTGCCGAACGGCACCCTGGCCGTCTTCCGAGGTAGGTAGATAGGCCGCCCTGGTCCTGGTCCCAGTCCTGGACTCCACCTGCCCATCTGTCTGCCCTCTGAGCCACTGAAGAGCTCCGAACCCCTCACGAAGAGACACATGAGGCCGGTGCCCTCCCCAGTACCGCGAGGCCCGGCCACGCCTCAGAGGTGCTGCCGGTGCAGGAGCCGCCTTCCCCCTCAGCCGCGTCCTGAGCTGGGAAAAGGCTGGAGAGGGGTCTCTCGTTTGCAGTGCCTTTCCCTCGCGTGATTCGCTTTATGTCCGCCCGCTGCGCAGGTCACTACTACTGGCTGCTGAACGGCAGGAGCCCACCAACGACCAATCCCCGCCGGATCAGCGACGGCTGGGGCATCCCGTCCCCCATCGACTCCGTCTTCTCCAGGTGCAACTGCGATGGCAAGACTTTCTTCATCAAGGTGGGGAGCTTGCCAGCCGGGGAACGAATGTGACAGGCGCAAGAGGCAGCCGGGGACGGACGAGCGTCCTTAAACAGCAGCTCCACAGGAGAGGGGCCTTGCATTGCCCGTGTTATAGATACAGGCGTTTGCAAATAGGGTGGTGGGTTTGAAATTCTGTGGGTGAAGTTAAAACTCTTCACACCACCACCACCACCCCCCCCTCGTGAGAGCCTTGAGATGCTTCTTATCAGGAAAAACCTACATTCAGTGTCTTTTTTCCTGTGTAACTGGCCAGGAGACAAAGCATTGACAGAAATTGAGCAATTGGGCCACACGTCAAAAAAAGTCCAACTGTTTAAAATACAGGTATTTTATCATGCCTTTCCCTTGCCCAAACAGCCTAAATTTGTTCCCAATACATTTACCTTCCTGAAAGGTAATGAAATACACACATCTCATAAAAGACATTATACAGTTACTTCCCAGTTAATCATTCAGTCCTGGGATCCAAACAGCTTTTTCTGTCCATGAAAATCTAGATTTATAAAGCAAACTGCTTTGTTCAGTATCCACTATAATAATTCATTTCTAAGATACTCTTTCCCCACTGAAAAGCAGTTAAAAGGCTGGAAAAGGATCTGTTTACATTTTCTTCCTGTTTTTAATGAATGGAGTAGTGGTTTCACTCACTTTTATAGTTATCAAAATGCTAGTGTTATGATTATTTTTTACGTCTGTGTTGAAACTCAAATTACCAAGAATGAATTTACTCCTTTTTTTTCCTTTAATCATCAGGGTCCCCTGTACTGGCGTTTCACTAACGGTGTTATGGATAAAGGCTATCCCAAACCTCTTGCAAATGGATTTGCAGGGCTAAGTGGAAAAATAGTAGCGACCCTCCCTGTTGCAAGATACAATAATAGACCAGAATCTGTTTATTTTATCAAAAAAGGTATGTTTCATATTTCAGAAATTCAGAGATGAGGTGCTTGAATTGCCTTAGGAATTAAAACATCATTTCTCTTGACTAAAAGATGTGTTTCACTCAAATTAAAAAAAATAAGTGATGTTAAAGGTGTCCTAGGGGAGTCAAAAATATCCTGAAGATCTAAAAATTTGTGTTTCAGTGCTTTTTAAAACGGAGAGGGCTGTAAAGGATAGAATCCAGGAAAATATTAGAGTAAGTTTTATCTGGCAGTAAAAAACTATTCTAGACTGAGGTTAGAGAAAGAAAGGCTTTAATCTTACTAGTTCCTAACTATGTATGGAAATCTCCCCCCCATTTCTTATTTCAAACTAATGTGCTTCCTTGTATGAATGATGTGATGCCAATGTATGAATTTTTACCTTGATTTAAAAACCATACGTCAATGAAACGTAAATCCCTTTTTGGACTCTAGCCCTCTTCTCATGAAACCTAAAATGATGGCCTTACACAGTCCTTGATAAAAGGAATGATGGCAGCAAAAGCAGTTCCCCTGGCATTGTACTTGCTACAATAACTGTAATGAGCAGTGCACCTAGAAGCTCATCTTGGATTTAGAGATGAAGGTTTTCTGTTTGGTTTTTTACTTGCCTCAAAATGTAATGGATCACATGTAATAGACATGAAAAGTGACATCTTCATATCTGATAGAGTTGGTGGTTTGGTGTTTATGTTTTTTTTGTATGTCTTTCATTTGATTGTGGTTTTTGTTGGTTTTGTTTGTTTATCTGGGTTTTTGGTTGATTAATTTTTTTAACCAAATGAAACAAACATCTATTTTAGATGGCAACATGCAACAGTATGTGTACAGACAAGAACCAGCTAAGAAGTGTCAAAGAAGAACCCAGATTACTGTAAGATACCCAGCTTATGTCCCAAGACTTGTAATAAGGAGACGCTTCCAACGTGCAGTAAGAATGCCAACCGTTATTCAGACTGTCAGAATCAACCCACGTTCATCTGGTAACTTATGTTTATTAAGTTTCTTTTATACAACCATTTTAATCTTAGTAGTTCTGAAACACAACATTTGGGCTTTTTTAAAGTATTATCTATAAAAAATTTTAATCCAATGTATCTCACTTGCTGTAGATTATACAAGCAAATGATAGCTTACAGCAGACATACTGCGACAACTCCAAACTCTTCTTTTGCTTGCAGGAGTTTTGCGTAAGGAAATCAAAATGAATGCCTACTGGAAAGGGCTCCCGAAAGTTATTCATTCAACTATATCACTACCCAACTACAATAAGCCAGATGGCTACGATTATTATGCCTTCTCTTACAGTAAGTTAAAGCTAATGCAAGTTATTTTGTATCTCAGAAGACTAAAGGAGGGGAAAGAAAGAAGCTTATGAATCTCTCGGCTTTCTGGAGCGTGAGGTTATTGCTTGGGGTTCTGCAAGAACAATTTTAAGCGCTACTAAACAGTCCTGAGAATTAAAATATTGCCTGTAATGGGGAGATGTTTCTATTAAAAAAAAAAAAAAAAAATCAGGAGTTACAGGACAACTAGCAGCAATAAGGTACAATGGCTCAAACTAGCCAGCTGCAAAATGCATTGCCATAAGCGTTCAGGCTTATAAAGTGACAAAAACCTGACACTTAAATGCAGAATTACATTAGTGATAGATTGAAATCCCTGGACCACTGCACACAAATAGTTTTTTCACTGACTTCTGTGAAAGCATTCCTCAGAATTTTCTGTATTATTCAGGAAAAAAAAAGAAAAAAGCGTTAAGAACTAGCTGTATCCAAATACAGGATACTAAAGTAAATCTCTGATGAGATGTATGATCTATCTCCTAACCTTAACATAAGCACATTCACACTTGGGGACCACAGAATTCCCACTTCTGTAGTCAATGCAAGATTGTTTTGGTTTTAGTTTGATTTCCAAAAAGACTACATCTATGTTCTAGCAGTATAAAAGTATTCTTCCCTACTCCCTCTTCTTGGGACAGATTATTAGCAGTATTGTAAAACTTAACTAAGTGCAAAGAAGGACACGTAAAAAATAAAGTTGAGGACAAAAATTCATTGTTATAGTCTCTCACCTCCACATATATATGGAATGGAAATAGAAAATCTGCTATTCATGCCTAAATTAAAAGGCAGGCTTTAACTTAAAGATTCTTTCCATGTACTAAGCAGTTTCTGAAATTTAATTCTGACACATCTTCATTTCAGATCGGTACTACAGTTTGGATGTTGGCAAAAGAATAGCAAAACCTGTTACTGCTCTCACAGGAAAGACTGTATCCAAAGACTGGTACAACTGTCCTAGCAAGTGATGCACAGCAGAGGATTTAACAAAAAAGATGCCATTTGAATGTTGACATTTTGTCTAATTTTATTAATAAAGACATTGAAATGTGTGCACACAAATCTAAGTATAAAATACTGCTTTAAGCTCTGGCTTCATTACACTAGAACAACTACAGGCAAACTGGCACTTTTGTATACACATCTGTAATTACTTTAGAGATCATTTAACTGATATTCCCTCTGTTCAGGCCTCCTCTGCCTCCCATTGCATGAGTTACACCTGTGTTGGGAAAGAAAACAAATGAATTAATAGAAATCTTTTTTACCTTTTTAATCACCCATTGGTACTTGTGATACCTCATCCTTCTGTAAGGAACTGCTACTGTAGGGAGCACTTCCTTTCAGATAAAGTTCAAGTTCTCCCCTCTGCCTTCCCCTAGGGCCTTGAGATATGGATATATTCTATTTCTGTGATTTAAAAGGGCATTGTTGACTTGTGATCCTACTTCAGGCCCTGTGCCAAAAGAACAACATTCTTATCATATTTGAAATCAGTTAGTCCCTCCCTTTTGTCATTAAAGAAATGGTGATAGGCAGAAAGAAAATCTATCCTAGGTCCACCTCCTCACTTTTATTTTTGTTTTAAAACACCAGATACCTACATTTCAACGCTAGTATCAAGTCTTCTACAATACTAAAATGGTGCCAAATTGAATATAATTCATCTAAGGATTTTTAACACAAACATTGCAAACAATAATTTATTGCTTTGGTTTAACTATATTGCATTACAAAGTCTGTTAAATCTTTAATGCTTACATAATTTTTTTTTTAAATCAGTGTAACTGGAACCTCTAATGTACCAAATGAGAAACTAATATATAATGTTAAAAACAAATATTTCTAAACTTATGTCCTAACATCTTTTAAAAGATCTTCCTTTAAAACTTTGCCAAGTTTAAGATTTACTGCAATTTACTTTCCCTCCACTAATAAAAAACAAGTGCCACATTAAGTAGAAAGATTGCCTATCTAAAACATGCTCAGACTAACATACTAAAACAAAATTGCAGAGCTCTTAGGGTAACATACTGAAAGCAAGGGCAGGGATGCTGTATTATTCAATGTATTATAAGCAAACACAGGCATATAAAGTAGTACACTTCATATATGGTCCCCAAAGGAAGGACTAAAAATTTGTTCGAAAAGCTTTGAATTTGAACAGCCTTGAACACTTACCCCTCTGCCTGTTGAATTGACGACCACGAACACCAGTTCTTAATGTTGGTGGCTGAAGTCTGACACGTCGGAACGGCTTAGGCTGGTTACTGCTTGTGTCTGTGAACAAGTGGAAAAGCAGAAAAGGATGTCTGTGCCTAGTACAGTTTTTCACTGTCAATGTTTACATTATTTGATATGCATTACGCTTTCAAATGTACTTTAAATTGTGAAGGTGTATCCTTATTTCATTGACACCACCTCTAATACAAATAAAAGCCTCAAAACAAGCACATTTGGTGGTACTTCTTGCTAACTCAACAGTGACTTACTTACTGTTCTCTGACTATTTAACTGAATGAAAAAACATTTTAAATCTGACATCAAACATAACAGTGGATAGAATCACTGAAATATCAGTAACTTTTGCTCCTCGAAGCATTATTCTTACTACAGCCTACTCTAGTTACTGCAGCCCAAGTGAAAATTGCTTGCCATTAAGACTAAAGGCAGCAAAACATGACCTTGCTGTAAGAGTTCTATCTTATTTTGTGTTTCTTGGGTATCAGCAGTTTTTGATGCTGATCCAAAAAGGTCCCACACTTAGTGAAATAGTATGTATCAACTGTTTCCAGCAATTAGCCTGTACCTGCAGATGAACTAGAAGGAGGATCTTGACTAGTCGAGGGAAGATCTGACTCATCAGATGCTTGAACAGATTCTTCTTCTTGCTGGCTATCAATTTCTAAGCCTGCTTCTGAAGTAATTCTAGAAGAGAAGGAGTGGGAGGAAAAACATACAAGTGTATTCACACAGTTTCAATAAGCTCAGATTAAAAAAAAAAAAAGACATAAAATTACAACCTATCCCCTTTTAGATTTGCAATATTTGGTCATAATACAAAATACAGAAATTATTGTAAATATTTAAAATTGCACTTGAAAGTGGAAAACAAATCATTTGTCTATCAAATTCTTAAGAATTGCTTATTCCCTTCCTTCATGCTACTTGCATTGCCTTAACTGAATGTCTTCATTATGTATGCTTGCTTGCAATGAGGAGTGTTTTTCTCTGTTAACAAACAGGGTCAATTTACCCTTTATTATACAAAACCTAGTCCTTCAGACTGGGGCCTTTACCATCAGTATTTGACTACTGGAGAGCACTCTGTTTTCTTTAAAAATACAGATTATTTTTTTTGTGTGTGACTTCTATATTAGCTATGTTAAGTCAGAAGGAGTAATTCAGATGAAACCTTTGGTTTTAGATGAAAAGGTCAGATTGTGCTACTTCACAAAATTACTAAATCCTGTTTGATCTGTCCTTCCTCCCAGAAGAGGTTAAACTGAAAATGAATCACAGGCATACTTGGATGAAAACAAATCATTAAAACTAACATGACATCAAGTTGTAGTGAGCCAAACAAGTCATAGCTTACCCTTCAGATTCGGCCTCTGCAAAAACTTCATCCCCATCATCACCCACTCCAGCCTCTGCAGTGGTGGACAGATTGCCAGTAGATGTTGTAACCATTGGAACAGACTGAGAAGCATGCTCTGAAGCATCTGCTGACGCGCTTTCAGTAAAAACCGTCACTGTACAGGAAAGGTAGTTTAATTAACACTGAGTTAGTTTTCATTTCTACATAAAATCTATGGAAATCTTAGGCAGATAAGAATACTCCAGGCATAACAATAAGCACTGTAGCAACAATAAGCTAATTCTTTTCTGGGAAGTCAAGGTTTGCAGCCTTTACTTCAGCCTGCAAATTTCTTGCCACTTACCTGGTGCTGCTACTTGTAATGGTGTTGTGGGAACGCTACGACCACCTGATTCTTCCTCGTGAGCAAGGAATAGTGGGGTTTCATACATGCCTAAACCTGCAAAGCAAAGTTTTAGTGGCAATTAAAATTGCAGCTAAAAAAAACAGATTAACTGCTCTTTTCCTTCTGAACACTTGATGGAACCCAACAATTTGTATTTATATATGGAGATTTATGTTATTTTGTTTTGACTTACTGCAATTAAGTTAAATTAATGCAAGGCTAATTATAATTTATTGAAAGCTAATAACCTTGATGAAAATAACATTACTTATTTTACTTTCATCCTTCTCTTACGCCATTATTTTTCTTCAAAGAAAAGCATACTGTTCCATGCTGACAAGAGATGCAGGGGAAAGGGACTAATTCAGGACAACAACAAGGACAATGCAAACCAAATTGCCTGGCTACCTCTGAGCAGCTGAGGATATGTCCCAAAGATTTCTTTTAGATTTGCTGTTTTCCCCTTATGTTTTAGTAAAGGAAATCTACAGTCAACCGTAAAAATAAAGTTAAAAACCATTCCCTTCACTATTTCACTTCTCTTTACATGAAGTTTCTTGTGTCTAGCAGGCAATGTGTTCTACTTAAAATTTCAGCTTCTCTGCTTCACAAACCCACAGAATCATTCTACATTTTGAACCACATTACAAGGAGAAATGTAGCAGCTTTCAGGAAACACTTTTTCACTTCTTGTTAGTCTTCTCTGCAATTTTAAAAGTTGCAGGTTTCCCGCACCACAAGTAGAAATGCATTTTGCCTGCATTATTTTTTTTTCACTCTAACAACCATGGAAATACAGAAATGGTTTACCTCCTTGTGATGCAAGCTGACCAAGATCAGAATGACTTGAGCTAGTTTGTGGCATATCTTCAGGGGGTCCAAATCTGAATCTAGGAACTCCAGCGACCTGAGGGGAACTATCAAAATAAAGATTTAAGGAATTTTGCAGGAATTTGAGGAGAGGACAACATTTTAACCAAAACAAGAGAACAAACTATGCATAAGACAGAATTAATTAACACTGACCATAAAAGTCAGCTCAACTACTGCTAATTAAATAGCAATTAGTTTCTCAAACTTATTTGGACTGTATTCAAAATCAGTAAAACAGTCCTGAAGAGAACAGTCTTTACTTATTCATCCTATGAATTCTCACAATTTTAAGTGGATTGCTAAATGTGTCCAGAACATCCCAAAGCCAAAAATGGGGATAACTTTTCCTGCTTCTACCAGTTATATTAACAGGGTGGGGGGAAGGAGAGTGAAGAGGAGGAAGGAAATTAAATAGAAGAACCTATTTTTTTGCTTCATCTCATCTTAAATCAGTAAGTTACTGTACATTGGAGATTATCTGCCTCCTCATTGGCTAGTAAGTTATGACACACAACTGAAACAATGATCACTTATTTGTAGATGCAGTCATCTATCATAGTATTACCAAGTTTTAGCACATTACTCCAATCACAAATTCATTTCATTTCATTCTCACTCCACTGAAAAATAGATGTTGTGGTGGTTTGGGCTCCCTCTCCCCCTTTACATCTACTTACTGAATGGCTTCTGCAAACCCATCTGTACGATGTGGAACTACAAGAGTTGGTGTACTTGGAACTGTTCTGTCCTCATCATCAAAGAAGTGTTGCTGCTGGGAGAAAAAAACCAAACAAAACCAAAAAGACTGATATGAGAGCCTAACAATGTATTTCCAGTTTCCACTGGAAATTGAAGGTCGGTTTGTTTTTTCACATAGTAAGGCAAAACAAAGCTTTAGTTCTAACAAAATTCTTGTCCAATTTTAGACATCTGAATCTGAGCTGGTTATAGATTGCCCCTTACAGGTGATGAAAAAACCCAAACCGAAATAAAACCCATATACTTGCAAGCCACTCATCTTTCAAAGGATTTTTAGACACCTTATCATGAGATTATTCTTCTATAAAACTGCCATATCCCCCTGTTGACTACAAAGGAATCTTAAGACAACTCATTCATTAACAGATCGGAACCATCTGTATTAATATGGATTGCTGTAAGGTACCTAGCACATGGGATTTTTCACAATGTACCAAGTTATCTGTTCCCTCTTCCC